CAGGTGACGAGCTGTCTCATTACAGACACAGCGAAGCGGCAGCGCCATCCTTGGCGCCCGCGCAGCCCGGCTCACCGCCCGGGCAAGCACCGCCAGCAAGATCAGCGAAACGCCTCCTGTGCTTAGCGAAACGGGTGTAACTTACCCCAGCAGCCCTGCAACCCAAGCATCAAGCACCTAATATCCTCCTTGCGTGCGTTCGAGGACATGATGTCTGCTCCGGATGTTTCCCCAGGCCAAAAACTCAAACGAGGTAAACGTCGAATGAAACAATTTCCTCTAACAGCACTCACAGAAGGCAGGATTGACCTGTAGGATGGAAAACTGGAAGGACTTTCCCTCTGGTGTCAGTATCTGAGCTAGTAAGAACCGCATGAAATACAGGAAATGTTGGTCCGGTATGAAAGTTACAGACTGCAGCTATGAACTTCTGAAGTTCTTCTGTGTTCATTTGAGATCTGTATTTGCACAGCACAAAAGAAGATAACATCTGTTTATACAAAGAATTTATTTTATACACATTAACCTACAAAATATACAGCGATTAAAAATAATGGATAGGCAGAAGACTCACTGGAAAAATTACAGGAGACAATTCTTAATGTCTCAACTGACAAAGTTACATCAATAGGCTGCCTTTAAAAGCCAGTCTACCTTGTAGTAGGAGTTACTGAAGTCGCAACAGCTTTACAGTTTTAGTCAATTAAAAGAGTTTGAAACAATTAAAAAGGCACCTTGAACAGCTTAAACTCTTGAGACTCCTTACAATTTTAGTTATTCGAAAGTTACACTTTGTGCGTATAACATCCACACCTTGTTTTTAACACTCTGAATAACAAATTTTGTTATTTTATTGTGGCACTCTATATTTTCTTCACCAGATCTGAAGTTACACATTTGCAATACTAGTTTCATATTCAGACTATCACAGCATAAAAATCCACTCAAAACGGTCATGTGGACTTAAGATACAGTACAACCTTACAATCAGGAAGATACAAGCATATTTAAGACCATTTTTAAAATATTAAAATCTTAAAATAGCAGTCTTGTGAACCAGATCAAACAGGGAGCTACGTATGACCACAATGAAAGTGGCTGGTGCACTATACACACAATTTGACAAATGTGATCCTTGATATATTTCCAAAGTTCTTAAACAGTGAGACCAGTTTTCTCCAGCACAGGCAGACAGTCTTTCTGCAAGCCTTCTAACCAGTTCCAAAAAGAACGACCAGGAGACAAGGACAGCTGTAATGAGTGAGTGTGCTAATAAAACATCACGGGAATGGTAAGTATTCCTTTCAATACTGTTCATGAAGACAAAAAAAGCCATACAGCGAATATTATGTCTTTTCCTGAACATTGGCATCGATCTGCTATTTACAATAGCTTACAAAGACATATAGCACAAATGAGGTTTGATTTTCAAGTTCAACTTCATAGCCAATTAACATACTTCACCTGTATGTTCTGTTCTAGCTGAACTAAAAAAGTGACACTAATACTGAAAGAGAGGTAATCAGAAGTAGCAAAAGCACTGATAATATGATAACAAAGAATTTGGGTAAATATTCAAGAAAGTAATATTGCACACTTTCACTGTCAACTGTGTAAGACTTTCACTCCCAGGTAGCGACAACCAGTCCTGTTTGGTTTTTTGCTGTCACACTACCTTGAAAAGGTCATTTTTGGTTTCCATGGCAGTGGAAAAAACTGAAGGAAGACAGCCCTTATTGAACATGAGGCCTAGGTTTCAAAATTAATTTTCCAGTCTGCAAGACAGAAAAAGAAATCAAGTTTAGAACCTGAAAATTGAGCCCAACAATTGCACTTCAAGTTCAATTTTACAGGCTAAGTTTAAAACGACACACAGAACAATACTAAGTATTCTACATTCCAGTTTTACAGGCACACAGAATTTGTCAAGGTGTACACAAGTGCTGTTCAGAAAAAAAAACCCCTGTGTGCTTTTTAGAATTATTTGCATTTTCTTAAAAAGAAGGTTTAGGCAATGAACCACTAACACTTACATCATCACAGGACATATTATATTCTGCCAAAACAGTTCGACACCGGGCTGCTATACTGTGTGGATTGTGTCAAGGAAAGCAGCTAATGCTTGTACACAGAGTAAGTAAAAACTGAAAAAGCAGTATTAGCATAGGCTTCAATAACAGCAGTAACGATGACACTTTTAACCTGACAAACACGACTGAAGGATACATTGATGGTGCCACCACTCTTTTATGTATTCCAGCAAAGAACAAGCCTATTAGGGTAATACAGCTAATTGTGAAAAACGGGTGATTCCAAAGTGATGTGAAAAATGACACCTAGGAAAGAAATCAGATTAGTCCCACTATATACTTTCTAAAACACACAGAAAGTTGCTGTCTAGTTCACTTAATTAAAAAAAAACCCAACAAACCTGCTCCTAGCCATTTCTACGTACTTGTGAACAATTCTTTAGATAAGCATTCAAGGTGTAGCATTTTGGTAGGCATTGTCCCAGGACATATTCCACAGCAATTCCAGACAGCTTGAGAGCTTAACTAAAAATGATCTCCCAGTTTCATGGGAGAACCACCTTTCGGTTTTCAAGATCATATACCACTTGACTGCAACACCAAGCTATGAAACAGACTACGTTCGGGATTAGCCTGATCTTTACCTTTTGTGTCTCCGGGTCTATTAACCAGTTCCAAGCACCAGTTGCTGTGCAGACTGACACCACTATCAGAATCACTGATAAAGAAAAGAACAAGAGTCATAACCAGTATACCTCACTCCTATTAAAAAGCATTTATTTTTCAACAGCAGCTCTTAAGCATTTATTTCTTCTCCCACTTCTGAGGGAGGAAAAGGTTCTACTTGGAAGGTAGAAATGAAAATAGGCAAAGAAACTTCTATTATGTGAAATCGTAAAGATTCTGTACAAGTTTCCTGGATGGAACAAGTAGGTACCAAAATCTAAATCCTGTCAAGTAAAAACATCCTGATGCTTTGAAGAAATGAAAGTTTCTGAAATAACACAGTTACCAAAAACCTGAGTTGGAAGACTGGAATAAGAGTTGTACCAAATGTTCAGTATGCTATTTGAGCTTATGCAGTCTGGGCAACAGAAATGCAGCACCATTAAATTGCAGAGCAGAACTAAAGCTCCTATCCCACTAGCTCATCTACAAGCTCCTATCCCGCTAGCTCGTCTACGTAAGAAAAGCCTGAGGCATTAGCACCAGCAGTTTCAGTGGCACATCTAAGTTATGTTACACTCCACACCCCAATCAACACGATTACAAGCAAGGAAAGCTGATAGAGAGAAAAAAACCACAAAATTTAAACAGTAGTCAGAAGGCAAGTTAGCATTAGCACGTGAAGATTAACAAAAACCTCTATGCATCCAGAATGACTTAGGAAGAATAATCAATTTGCTGTAAATGGATAAGGCTAGATACATATTAGAGTAATACAAGATACTAGACTGATTTTGAGAGACTACAAAGGGCTAGGGAACAGTGGTTGACGGAAAAAGAAAACAGAACAAATATAAAGGTAGAGAAAGCTCATATTCTATTGCACACCCATAAAGCCCTGCATCTTTCATTGGACATTTGGCAGTTCTGAGTGTTTTCTGTGGAGCCTGAAGTTCTGGATGCAAATAAAGTCTTTTACCAGGGGGAAGGAAAACAAAAACCAACACAAAAAAAGAAAAGACCCAGAGTTACCAGCCCTTAGGATCATAGGAAAGAATCGGACAACAAACCCCAGATATTCATGAAATACTACTTTCAGGTTTGTAACACTGCTATAATTTACTATGGAGTTGCATATTCCTTATTGATATTATAAAATTAAAAACAAAATAAAAAAGTAACCCTAACAAGTTATGTTTTCAAAAGAAAGTTGGAAATGATCTATCAAAAGCATAGAGCTTCTTCTCTCTATATTTTTTTTCCCCAGATAACAGGAGGAAAAGTTAACATTGAGTTAAATACCCCATTACAATTAAAAAGTCCCTCTTTTACATGAATTACAAAACTAGCAAAACAAGCAGTTAGGAAAAAAGGTTAGCTAGTGAACACAATACTAGTTATGCAAACCTCATTTAAATAGGCGTAGAAGTTTCCAGTACTTTTTTTTTTTTTTAATTTTATCTGACAGTAAATCGCAATTCTAGAAGCCAAATGCATTCCTACAGTAGGTGCACACACAAGTTGTGTAGATCTACTTACAAATATCTGCTTGCCTCCTAATTGCTCTGAAACAAGGGGGTTTGGGGGAGGGGGGTGGTATTTGTTTGTTTGTGGTGGTTTGTTGTTGTTGTTGTTTTTGCTTTTTAAATAGTCATTTCTCCAGTTCCTTCATTTGAAATTAACCTCTTGGACCCTCAGGAGAAAAGATGCTATTTTATATGTTCTAAAAAATGTCCGTATTCTCTAAGTATGGAAACTTCAGCAGAATCTTAGAACAAAAAAGCAGTCTGTTTCCACCATGGACTACTGATCCCAAAGTCGGCAGCATATCTGGGGTATTTTTTGCCTTCCCCCACCTTCAAACTTCCCTGTTAGAACAGAGATGAGGACATATTCTGCCCTCACGGCACACTGCTGTAACTATTTCACCTTCAATTTTATAGGGACTATCTAACCCAATCATATTTAGTTCAAGTAACTGTAGCGACTGTCTGGGAAGTCTGAGCCTTCAAAAAAAACCAACAACAAAAAACCAAACCAAACACAACAACTTACTGTCCCAACTATTTCCAGAATAATTCAGCCTTGAGCCAATTCAATCTTGACCTCGTTTTTCTAACTCTGGCTAAAGTATTAGCTTGTTATCTTGTATTAGCTTGTTGCAGAGTGTTTGAATATATGCCACAGAGTTTAAGCACAGATTTTTGTTTGAGCGAACATAAATCAAAGATACACACTGGTAAATCTAAAAAGCTTGAAAGAGAGAATCCTATTTATCCCTTGGAACATCAAACTTACTTCTCCAACGTCCTGTAGCTGGTTGCAAACATGCAATATATTCAGTAAGTCTTCTTTCAAAAGCTTTGAGATCTGGGGAGGATGTATATCAAGCATAATTAGATCTTCATCTATTTAGTCAAATTTTAGTGTAAAAGATAAAAGGAATTCACTTTCCCCCTGTGCACACCCATTTCTTAAACAGGCAGAGAAAACCAATGCAATGATCATTTAGATGTAATAAAAGGACGGTTGAAATAGCTTCACACAACTTTAGCTAAAAAGTTACACTAAATGCAAGAAACATTCCCACTTACAGAAAAGAAAATCGACACAGTTGAGAAAACGGAGTATTTTAGACATCTTTAAAAATACTGAGAGTTAGATTTAGAATAGCTTAAATAGCCCCTCCACACAGAAAAAAAGTATCACATTTTGGAGTATTAAATACATCAGGAAACCATTTTCTATTATCTATATAATGGTAATTAAAAAAAAAAAAAGTTGGCCATTTACCAGCTGTCCAAGGGATTATTTGTAGCAGCGTGGCTTTGATGACTTTGTTTTGTAAAACTTTTAGTGCCATGATATACATACACACACGCACGCTCATATGTAAAAACCCACAGCAACCACTAGCACAACAATCTATTTTAATTCTTCTTTTCTTTAAATAGATCTTTCTTCTTATGTTATCATTATGCCATGGTCTTTCCATTGAAATTGCTGTTAAATGCCGAGCAGCATTTCAAGTTCATACTCCTAATTTGTTTAAAAAAATAATATTAGCCAACCACCTAATGTTTGTCTACAACGAGCTGTTTCACCTGAAGTCTATGTAAGATTTAAGCTTCTGTTCAACAAGGTCAATATTTGACAACATTCCAGTCAAAGCTAGAATTCTACCTGGAGTTAAGTTTTTATTAGCGTAAACTTAACTTTCAGCTAAAGTGTTTCAGTTAGCATCACTCTGGAAATCTTTTCCTTCAACTTGCAACTATTGCTAAATTATTCACCATAATAAAGCAATTAGAGAATAAGATTAGAAGAAATATACCTATTATGATCATTACTAATGCAGTTTTCCAAACTGTAAATTTACTCCTAAGTGGTTTGCAGGTGAATTCATGGGGGAAGATTACAGCATTTTGACTTCAGCCTCTTTTCAGCTAACTAGTCTTAATTACTGCCAAAGCCCGGTAGTTATGGCCTGTCCTCCACCTCCCTGCTGGGGAAGTTAAGCCACTGCCAGCAATTAAATCTAATTAACTGTTCCCTGACTAGCACAAACCCCTACAACTAGTCATTGAAGCGAGAGGGGGAAATATGAGGCATCACATGAAAACCTGCTATTTGAGAAACAGCACCCTGTAGGCATAAAGTCAAGCTATTGATAACAAAGATCTCAAGAAAACCCTTGTATAATGTAGACAGCATTAAAATAAAAAACAGAAAAAAAAACCCTTTTAAGAAAACAGGAACTTAAAGCTTTAACCCATGTTCTAAGAACCTTCTCTGAGTTTATCACTTGGGCACCTGGCAGCTGTAACTAGCAAGGCACGCTTCTTACATCCCTACAGCTTGTACAGATATAGCAACAAAGCCGTGACGACACCGGACTATCATTTTTTGTTGACATGTCTACCTCTAGTATCTGCTGCAAAACAGCTGCTAAGTCTGAGACGCTGATGCATTTTAAAAGTCTCTACCAGTCTTACTTTGGACACTAAAAACTCCTTTCAGGGCTCTGACATCCTGTAAACTGCAATTTCAAAGAACTTGTAACCCAACAATCAATGTTCTCAGACAAGAGAGGACTATTTGAGGTCACGTTCTTCAAATGCAAGAGGAGCCTTGGCACAGTGTAATGCCTAGTGTGCTAGGTGGGACTCAAAGCTGTAAGAAATGTATTTCACGTAAAAACCCGTGAGCGGAGCAGTAGCTACCGCAGCACAAGCAGATTTTAATAAGCCGAAGTCGAGAAGCCTTGTCGAGAAGTGGCACCGCAAGTGAAAGCCTGCTGGGCAGCTCCCTCCTCCCCAGGGGAGGAAGGCGGCTGGCGGGCCCGCACACGGAGCCCCTCAGCACAGGCCTTCCCTGAGGGCCCCGCTCTCCGCCTCCGCGGGGCGGCCGGGGAGCAGCAGCCGCCCGTCCCCGAGCCTCAGGATGCGGAGACGGCACCAGAGACCCCGCCCCAGCTCGCCTGTC